CCAGAGAGCAGCACTGGGCACCCCTCTCCAAATCTCAGGAAAAACCAAGCTGCAATATCCCTCATTGAATATTTTAGGCTAATACAGTAAAGCTGACCCTGACATAGGAAGAAATTGCAAACTCCACACAGAAATGGCCCATATGAATGAAATCTTTTTGACCTACTTTCAGAATGGCTGTCATGTTTACCCAAGCATTTGGCCTACTGATGGGAGCCAGTTTCCCACAAGAGTAAGTGATAAAGTGAATTACATGCACGTACAGTAAATGTAGATAATGACAAAGATTTGATCAGTGCTCAGAGAAGCAGATGACATAGAAAACTGCACATGTTTCATGGGAAAATCTTTGCTGCAACATGTGCTTAGAATTCATGGAGAAAACTTGAAATTATACTTTGGTTTAAGGCCCTATATTATGCAAAACTGACTCTTGTGAGAGCTGTAATGTTGATTTAGAAAGATTACAAAACATAACTCGCGCTATGTTCGTGATGAGGAAACAACATTATACCATAGATCATAAAAAGTGTACCGTATTTTTCACACTATAGGGCGCTCTGGATTATAAGGCACACTGTCATTGAATGGTCTATTTTTGAACTTTTTTCACATATAAACCACACCAGACTATCAGGCGCATTGAACAAAACACAACAGTTTACTTTATTTAATGCGTTCACAATAACTCTCAACTTTGTTCAATTGTAACGCGTAAAAAAATTACTGTCTGAGACCGCTGAATTGTTGGCGTATTCACAATAACTCATAATTGTTCAAACAGTTGGGCGATTACGGCCTCCAGCACGCCCGCATCCCTCTCGTTATTATCCGAGTCAGTGTGGTTACTGTTCCCTGGCAGTTCAGTGATGATTCCACAGTTGATACTGATCCTTAGCCCAGGCGTCCACGATCCATTGGCAGATCGTGATCGTAAGTCGCTCGGCGCTGTCTCCCTGTTTTGGTTAATATGTGTTCACGTTCTCTCATCCACTGTTCCCACACAGCTTACAGTTTCACTTTATAATATCTTTGAGTTTAAAGTGGCCGTTGTGAGCGTGTCTCTTGACTGGTGCATTTTGATATTAAAAGGAATCACAGTATGTATTACTGCCCGATGCTCCTGACTACGGTAGCTGTAACGCTGCAAGTGGTGCGGCTTTGTTTTTTACTAAAGTTGTACTAAGATACCCCAATAAATTCATATATAAGGTGCTCTGGATTATAAGACGCACAGTAATTTTTTGATGAAATTAGAGGCTTTTAAGTGCACCCTGTAATACGGAAAATACTGTAATATGGGCCCTTTCAAACCTGTCCAGATTTTTATTTTTATTTTTTTATAATAACGTAAAAATAATTACAAATAATGTCCCTATATTGTCCCTATTTGCAGTGAAGAGACTACACTAAATCTTGACTTTACTAACGTGTCGCCTATAGCTCTTTTCTTACATTTTTTATATTGATGAAAGATTGGTGATTTCTATGCCCGATCTCCATTTTGTTTTACATAATCCATTAGCAACAATCAGTAGTCTTCCCTTTGGCTTCTCATATATACAGCCATTCTTTACCGACCTTTTCCATATATTTATTTCTCTCTTTCCTCCCCCTTTGACTTACAAGCACTCATTATGTTGTCCCTCTGTCGCACACAACAGTAGCCCTTGCTTGTGGCTTGCAGGTTGTATATGTGAATGCTCGATGGTTGTAAGTGATGAAACAGTGACTGGTCCTTTCCCCCTGGGCCCATATAAGACTGTTTGGAGCTGTGTTCCTGCTTTAATATTCCCCTGGTCCCCCAGTGTTTCAGTCTTGTGGAGGTTTTTATGGGCAGCTCAATGTAATTTCCAGCGTAGAGACAGCTTTAGGGCAGAGCCATCGGAGCCAACGGTCCATCCGTCAAACTCCAATCAGGTATTCAGGTGCACTGTGTCAATGCCAAAATGTCAATAAGGTGTGTGCATGTGTGTACGCTGAGTTACGATGACCAGGGGAAACAATAGCTATAGGATGGGACTAGTAAAACACACAGGTGAAGGAAGAAACGAGAAATAGTGAAATATTTAAGAGTGTGTAACTTTCTGGTGCTGATCTCTGTGGACTTGCTTTACCTGGAATGTTCCACTGTATGGCATTAAATCATAGACTGTATATAAAGAAAGTGGACAAAGTGCGTGTGACGTCACCCATAGCGTTGGGCTCCAGTCAAATGAAGTTCACGCTGCATATTAGGAATAGGCACATAGAGCAGGTTAAAGGGACAGTCCGGAATTTTGGACATAGGGCCTCATTTCCTAGTTAAGGGTGGAGTATTGTTCTGCGTTGATTCATCGCACACTGCTGCTGTTGCCTTGTCACCGTTGTTTTTGATTTATGGATCTGCGTCAAGGTCGGTGCACCGCGAAGTTATTCACAGCCAAAACGCTAGGGGGCCATAATATATGCCCATTCATATGTACAGTCTATGCATGTGACCTGCAGATGTATAATCTCTGAAAAGTTTAACATGAACCATCTCTAAAGCAATAAAAGCACAGAACAGACTCACCATTAGTACAACATCCCTCCATCACAGAAAGAACACTCATATTCCACTGAGTCGTGTCCTTTTTAAGTCCATCAGAAGCTACCCTCGTCAGGGCACAAGGAGTGAGCTAGTTTTTGAGTGCTTAATTTATGCAAATTAGCCATGCAGTTTTAAGTTTTGTTTCTGTGAAACATAAACAGATATGCACAAAGCTGCATTAAACACATTATTTCTCAATGTATATTGAAATAAAGGAAAGCTGAGTACAGGAAATGTACATGTATGTAGTGCGGCGGTAGGGAGGACCAATCACAGCCCTTATCGTCTGAGTCTCTTCCCCTGCTGTCTGCATCGTTCAACACGTAGTTAGAAAATTTCGGAGGTGCACGTCAGTCGACACAGAGGCTTTGCCTCATGACGCAGATGATTTGACGCCGGACTGTAAATTGGCCTTTAGCCAGAGTGTTGGAGACGTGGGGAGACACTTTTTAAAATATTCCATCCAGTCCTTGTATTTGCAGAGGTTGCTGGTGCTAGGCTAGTGCATGTCAATGGCCATAGTTAGCCTGCAACTAAAAACAGTCTTATCCACTCCACAAAACACCCAAGACAAAACATTTATAACGCCAGACTGTTGTACTTCCTGATAGAAAGCTTGGCAGTGGTGAACTGATATCATCTAGCACCAGTGTTGTTGAACATGAACTGAACACACTGTAGTACTGTCTGATGAACGAACTGTGAATGCATTCATTTCTGGTGTCTGTAAATGGCATGCACATCTATTTTACTTTTACTACTTAACTAGTTCATTTTTTAAAACTATGAACGAACTATTAACTACAAACAATTATGAACTATGAATGAACTAGTTCATTTTGAAATTTGTGAACTGAACTTGAACTCATTCATATAGAAAATGAACTTTCACAACACAGCCTAGCATCTACCGTACCGGCAAAGTAAAATTCCACTGCTGCTGAGAAAATAGTCCCTCAACATGCAACGATTCATGTGATACAAAGTTAGTTTTATTTCAAACATTAGTCTATCAACACAGATCTTTACATCGACAGTCTGGTGTAATAATAAATTTGCTTCGAGTGTTTTGTGGAGTGGGTAAGACTAACTATGGCCATTGACATGCACTAGCCAAGCACCAGCGACCTCTGCAAATACAAGGACTGGATAGAATATTTTAAAAAGTGTCTCCACACGTCTCTAACACTCTGGCTCACAAGAAAATGAGGCCCTATGTCCCAAATTCTGGACTGTCCCTTTAATACAAACATTTTAAGACCAAAATGACAAGCCTGACAGCAGCAGTTACAGAGAGAAAGGTGACAGTTTCTTGATACAAAGTGAAATAGAGACAGAGTTGATGTGCACCCATGCTCACTTGTTATATCGAACGTAATATATACAATATATATATATATATATATATATATATATATATATATATATATATATATATATATATATATATATATATATATATATATATATATATATATATATATATATATATATATATATATATATACACACACACACACACACACAGTCTGTGAGTTAAACTTAACACATCCATAAAGACAAGTAGGGAATGCCACTGGAACAATTTACAAGTCAAATCTATGGAGAGGCAACCCGAAAAACAGTAAGAATGCAAGATATTTGGAACAATAAAAATACGGAAATTCTGCACATGGAGTCAAAGAAGGGGTGTACCATCCACTAGAAAAGTTAGGCAACATTGATTCTTTTGAGCTTCAGTCATGATAGAATGTTGCCTAATCAAAAACATACAAGGAGTTGTGTTTTATTTCATTCACACATGTTTGAGTAATTCTTTATTATTATCTGTCTACATCTCCAAAGCTCAAAATGCTCTGTTCTGCTGTTCCACCTTGTGATGTCATGAAGTGGTAGTTTTCAAGTTTACAGCTACCTTTTACCTTTAGTTCAGTAGAGATTGACAATTCCAGGGCTGAAATCATCAAAATGATTCTAGTGAAGGTGTGTGGAGTTTGAAAACACAGTGGAGCATTCCCTGTATTATCACATGACATCACAAGGTGGGATGTTTTGTGTTTGAAAGAACTCCATGTATGTTTTTCATGAGGAAACAACATAGTTTATAACAGAGATCAGAAAACAGTGTAATATGGGTCCTATAAAACATTAGGTTAATCAATACATGTGGTAGAATAAATAATAAAGTAGGAAAATCTGTAATTGTGAGCCCATTAGTATTTCTTTCTTTAGTTTTTTCTTATTTTTATTCACAGTACATGAAATATTAGACATCGACAGTGTCATTAAGTTAAACATACGAAATATCAATAAAAAGAGCAGACAGAAGAGCCTCTTATCTGTTCTATTTTTATTTAGTGATAAAAGGATGACAATGTGTAAACAATTCATTCTTGATAACACATTAGTATTCTAGTTTTCTGTGAGGATAAGTGGTTTGTCAAGAATTGTGGTGTTATACTGCCATCTGCTGGAAGAAACTCAAAAGAAAAATAAACATTTCTAAATGTCTGAAAACTTTAAATTAATAATTAATACACGTACATACAGTATATAGGCCTGTACAACACATTGATACTTGAAAATAAACTTATTAGATAAAATACACAATTTTAACACTTTGGCCTGCCTTAAAATGTAAATTTTAAGTTTATTTCATATATTTAACTGTTTCCATTATGCTAATTCATAAATCTTAAAATAATACAAATTTATAAGGCCTGAGAGCAATTTCTAAATCCCAGTGTCCAGTCAAACGTTTCAATGCCACACCGCCTCCTGCTGTTCAGGACTGGTAGTGCTCCTCTTTCATCCTCTCAGGAGTCCAGTGGTGATGGATACAGACAGTATTGCTGAGGAGGCTCTGAAATAGCCCAGACTGTTTAAAGGGGCTCTGTGTTTGGGGTCGTGTTATTGTTGAAGTTTTTAAGGTGGACATAAGAGATGATGGACAGGGCTCCTGCATAGGCCTCCTCACACGCCGGCTGGATCTGGTCCTCAGGGAGAAGGTGGCTGTGCTCACCTGGACAACAAACACAGCTAGTTTTAAAGTACTATGTAACTTTTCTTGTGGACTGTCTGCTACATAATCATGTATGTCCACTATCAAAACTGCTGAGGAGTTGGAATATACAGTACAACATTTAGACATCAAAATCCTTAGGAATTAATGATTGAATGATTCTGCAATGAACTTATTTGACCTTTGTCTCTTAGCTCAAATGTGTAGGAGAAGGGGATCCCACTAAGACGAGCCCAGTCTCTGCTTGAACCCGAGTTTGGATCTGAAGATGAAAACAGGAAATATTTATTTTCTTGATACATTCATTTTACAGTATTTATAGGACATATTATGCACCCTGAGATAACCACCATGTTGTGTATGTGTGTGTGTAACCGTACTACCAGTATTGCTAATTCAACAGTATTATTTATGTAGCCTTAGCAGTAGTACTCACTGATAAAGTTTAAGCAAGGCATCCAGATAAGTACATCATTTGTTGGTTTTAATTCATTAGTGATAATTTGTCTTCTCTACATTTAATTGTGAAACTTGGTGCGACAAATAGAGGAATAAAGAGTCTTACAGAGGATCTGAGGAGAAGTTCCCACTCTGTACTCCATCCCATGAAGCTTCTTCATTTCTGCTGCGGCTGCTTCACCAACAGAAACCTGGACAATAAAAGAAGAATATTACATTACATTGCAATAAAAGATATCACCCTCCTCTACTTACCAGTTCTTGATAGTTAGGAGCTTTGATCTGGGGGTGTCCATAGGGTAGTAGGATGAGTTGTCCAGCAGAGTGAATGGTGAGGAAGCAAAGGACCTTTTTCAATATTTTACCTGGAAACAAGAAACAGAATAATGAATTGAAAGAATCTAATCGTATTTATTTATTTTTGTAGTTACCAATATAATCCATGACAGCTTTGGCCTCAGGCTCAGACCCTGGTCCAGTTCCACAGTATGTGTCTGAACAACTGTCAAAGGACACGCCCACCGCTGGAGATGAGCGGGAGGGCATATTAGTCAATTCACTTCAAGGTTTTTTTTTATTATGTAAAAAAACTATAGTACCATGTGTCATAGGGTGGGTAATACTGATAAAAATGAAATATGCAGATAACAGACAATATTATGGCAGTCTTTCCAAAATGTCAATATCTTGGTTCAAGTATGTATTGCACAAAATATAAATGGATTGTAAAATGAACCACAAGAAAGCTGAAAAACTTTTCTCCTCTTGTTTAGGAGAGTACATGGGGAGAGTAATGTAAGTACAAGAGCTTTTCTTGCAGCCTCTTTGTATGTTTTTGAATTATAGGCAATTTGATATTCCAATTTTGCACATGTACAAAGCTAAATAATTATTTTTTTTAAATAAGTCTCGCCTGTTACAAGTCATTACTATCATTAATTGTGACACATACTTCCCCAGTTGGCATTGAAGTTTCTGTTGAGATCAACTCCATAACAGCTGCTTCCTGGAGGAGGAGAGGAGCGGGACTTTCTCCACTTACGAGTCTATAAAATATGTCATTAAAAGTCTTCTATCACACATAGTTGACTCTTGTGAGCTTTTAGCCATGTTATAATGTTGTTACCTCCTCAAAACAAAACAAATAAAATACCTGGAGTTGTGTTTTGTTTCATTCAAACATGTTAGAGTAATATTATAGTCTCCAAAGCTCAAAATGCTCTGTTCCACCTTGTGATGTCATGAGTCGTTTTCAAGTTAACAGCTACTTTTTATTGGCAACTCCAAGGCTGAACTTATCCAAATGATTCTAGTGAAGGTGTCCACCACGTGACATCACATGGTGTAACAGTGTGTTTTCTGTTTGAGAGAAGAACAGACTATTTCTGCAGAGTTTGTGTGTTAAACATATGTGAATGAAACCAAATACAACTCCAGATATACATTTTTGATGAGGAAACATCATGTAATGTGCAACCTTTAAATAGCTTTAACCCATCCCACTCCATGAATCATAAAAAACATGTAACAATAATATTCAGTATTCACTCACACTGTTGTCCACCCAGCTGTACATGTACCCGTCCACATTGATCACAGGAGTTACATAGACGTCCAGGTTTTGTAACATCCTCTCCATGTGTGCATTGGTTTTGTACGACTGCACAATCTGAAGTTAAAGCATATTGTTGATCAAATACAAGTTAGACCACATATTTCCCTACAATAATTATATTTACAAAAAATCTTGCCTAGCTTTTTTTTTTTGAATGTAAAACTATGATAAATATTTACCACATGTAGACCTACTATACCACCAAACCAAGTAATACTTAGAAAGTCATGTAAACCTGTCATGTAATATAATGTATGTGGTCCAGACCTCTTTGACAAACCACTGGCAGAAAGCTGGAGCGATCCACTCTCGAGCATGGATCCCACAGTCCATCCACACTGCCTTCTTCTCTCGCTCCTCTGGGTTTTGAAGTCCCAGCTGAAAATACACAGAACACTTAAACATTAACCATTTTTATTTAATTTTGCAATGTACTTTTAAAATTGTATTACTGAAGCGCGGTATTACACTTCAAAAGGGACACGGATTTCACACATAACACACAACATATTTAAACCACCATGTTACCTTGATCACGTTTTATTCTTTTGAAAATGCTATATAAATTAATTCATCACTGGATGTATATAGCACCAATTATGACCCACGAAGTGCTTTACACAGCTCAATTCATTCACTCCACACTCACTGGTGATAAACTACTATTATAACTGCAACAGCCCTGGGGCAGATTGACAGAAGCAAGGCTGCCAATCTGCACTATCAGCCCCTCTGAGCACCACCAATATAGTTGTGCCAAAGGACACAGCTATATATACAATGCTTAATTAGTTTCAGATTCATTTTTAATGTTCTGAGGCCCTGCTTCCCTTGTTCATTACCCTGCCGAGCGCTATCACAATACAATTAGCATGCATCCCATTAATGAAACTACTGCACATCACATCAGATGGTGAAGTTGTAGTGTATTGTTTTGTTTCCTGCTTTTGTTTATCACGCAGGAGCATTTGTAGGCCTGTGGGTCTTGCAAGAGGCATACTGCTAAATTACTCAAACGATTACTCAAAGATGCGTGGATGACATATAAAAACATGCACATTATAACATGGTATAAAGTTCCAAAACATGATATAAAGGTCCAAAAAGCTGCTTTGTAATACCCCCTCTTTAATATAAATAAACAAGGCAATTTAAAGGCACACTATTTATGAATACTCTTGAAAATGAAGATGCTATTGCTTTGGCTTGAATGTTTTCAGTAAAGTAGGTGACACCATCAGGCCAAATTACAAGTCAGTGAACACACATGTTTTTCAGGGTATTTTTTTTTTTGGCTACAAAATCACCTGCAACTGAATAATTGCAGGATAGTTAATTAAAATGCAGTACTGTGGAACATTTCAGTCAAAGCTCAAAGTAGTGCCCTGGTATAAAACACATTCAGCTGTACAGGACAGGCTTCACTGGCAATTATACTTAGGTTTTTATATTAAAATCTTGCACATGCTGTACCTTCATAAGCGTGATGTTTCTTCCTTCAAATGTTTTCCCATAGACTGTTGAGGAGATCAGCTCTGGATTCAACTCCTCCATGTCCTTCATCCAATTATAAATCTGTGTTTTCAAAATAATAATAATTCAAATTCACATTAAATAATAAAATGTAATGTAAATTTCATATTTCACATACCTCGTCCATTGGGTGGTACTTTGTGTAGTCATATTCAAGCTCTGACCCCTTGACAACACTGTAATTGTAAAGAAATAGTGAATTTTTACACAGAATAGACACCAATGTAAAGCAATAGCATTTTCAAAACTCACCTGTAGCATTTGTCAGACCCAATATTTAGGAACAAAAACAAAATTAGTGCAGATTTAGTCTCCATTTCTGAAAACATAGCTGAACTTGCCAACTCTGTGCCCATGCAGAGGTGTAAAAATAGTGAATTATTAACATTTATGGAAGTGTTAAGTGTCATGTAATAAGATAGACGATGTAACCTGTGAAGCACACTGAGCAGCTAAAGTACAAGAATAAATAGATAACAGCGAGAGCTTAAATTAGATGTTAGGTGCCCTCTGGTGGGAATGAAGCATGGTGCAAGCAGGTAGAGCTTGAATGTAATTTAAGGTAATTCAACCTCAAATCACCCAATGGATATTTGGTATGTCTTAAGATGGGGGTAAGTCAAGGTAGATTCTAGGTTTGTGTGGAAAAAAAAAAAAAAAACTCCAGATTTTTTATATGTTGTAGTAAATAGGGCTATATTTTTACTGCTGGTACTACTGAGGTCGAGCTTGTCCCTTATTGTCAATTTCAAGGTCAAAATATAGGTCAAAAGGTTATTCATCTCAAAAGTCTCAAAATGCAAAAATAATAACACCAGATTTGGATTCCTTATGATTTCCACTTTCCAGAAATACTTTGTTTTCTGATGTCGGACCAGTAGTTGCTGAGTAAATGCAATTTGAAATTTGGCGACTACGCAAAAAAGTAAAAAAATGAAATTATGATATCTTGGAAACTGTTGGCATGATCAAACTAAAATTTGAAATTTTGTTTTTTCTCTTTTTTCATCAAAAATTAATAAACTAGGGTTTAACTCATTTGGTGAACTGAGGTGGATGGATCCTATGGTGGTTGCTATGGTGATTGTTATGGTGGTTGTGGTGGTTGTTTTGATGGTTGTTATAGTAGTTGCTATGATGGTTGCTATGGTGGTTGTTATGGTGGTTGCTCTGTTGGTTGTTATGGTGGTTATGGTGGTTGTCATGGTTGTTGTCATGGTGGTTGCTATGGTGGTTATGGTGGTTGTCATGGTGGTTGCTATTGGTGGTTGTCATGGTGGTTGTCATGATCATTGTCATGACAACCTCAGACCACTCCAGATGTCCATTTTGGAGCATCTTTTGTCATTTGAAGGCAGTTTGGGGCCAAAACCTGACATGGCCAAAAATGGCATTTTTCGTTGTTATGGTGGGTGTTGTGGTTGTTGTGGTTGTTATGGTTGCTATGGTGGTTGTCATGGTGGTTGTTTGGTGGTTGTTATGGTTGTTATGGTGGTTGCTGTGTTGGTTGTTATGGTGGCTATGGTGGTTGTCATGGTTGTTGTTATGGTGGTTGCTATGGTGGTTATGGTGGTTGTCATGGTGGTTGCTATGGTGGTTGTTATGGTGGTTGCTATGGTGGTTATGGTGGTTGTCATGGTGGTTGTTATAGTGGTTGCTATGGTGGTTGTTATAATGATTGTTATTGTGGTTGCTATGATGGTTGCTATAGTGGTTATCATGGTGGTTGTTATGGTGGTTGCTATGTTGGTTGTTATGGTGGTTATGGTGGTTGTCATGGTGGTTGTTATGGTGGTTGCTATGGTGGTTGTTATGGTGATGGCTATGGTGGTTGTTATGGTGGGTGTCATGGTGGTTGTTATGGTGCTTGCTATGGTGGTTATTATGGTGGTTGCTATGATGGTTGCTATGGTGGTTGTCATGGTGGTTGTTGTGGTTGTTATTTTTGTTATGGCGGTTGTTATTGTGGTTGTCATGGTGGTTGTCATGGTGGTTGCTGTGGTGGTTGCTATGGTGCTTGCTATGGTGGTTGTCATGGTGGTTGCTGTGGTGGTTGCTATGGTGCTTGCTATGGTGGTTGCTATGGTGGTTGTTGTTATGGTGGTTGCTATGGTGGTTTTCATGGTTGTTATGGTGGTTGCTATGGTGGTTGTTGTGGTGGTTGCTATGGTAGTTGCTATGGTGGTTCTTATGTGGTGGTTGTCATGGTGGTTGTTATGGTAGTTGTCATGGTGGATGTTGTGGTTGTTATGGTTGTTGTTGTGGTGGTTGTTATGGTGGATGTCATGGTTGTTGTTTGGTGGTTACAGTGGTTGTCATGGTGGATGCTATTGTGGTTCCTATGGTGGTTGCTATGGTAGTTGCTATGGTGGTTGTCATGGTGGTTGTTATGGTGGTTATGGTGGTTGATATGGTAGTTGTTATGTGGTGGTTGTTATAGTGGTTGTCATGGTGTTTGCTATGGTGGTTGTTATGGTGGTGGTTGTCATGGTGGTTTAACTCTTTGGGTGAACTGAGGTGGACTGACCCTTTAGTGTTGATAAGAGTGGTATGAGTATAAAACATTTCCTTTTTAAAGTTTGTTTAAAGTAAAAAATTAAAGGTATGTTCCTCAGTATCATAAATTTAAAGGGGTCACAATTACACACAATTACAGGTCTTGGTTTCTGAAATCATTGCGAGATAGGTCCGGTATTGCAACAGTTTTTACTCACAATTTCTCTACAGTTTACTACACAAGTGTTCATAATAATTCACTGTTTATTTATTTATTGATATATTTCCAGTTGATAACACGTTCTTGTTTACAATAACCAACTGAAAAAACAAATATAAACAAAACAATATAGCTAAAGGCCCTGGCGTCTAAACTATTCAATGAGATAACGGTTCCTGATGGTCAGTATTAATTTTATACAGGACAATCTTATTTATTCGTTTTTCCATTAGGTCCACCTCTGCCTCTGCTCCCGTCCTGTCCCAGGAGTCACTGAATCAGACCCATTCATTCCTGTGGCGTCCTTGGCTCCTCACGTGGATAATGTAATTGAGAGACAGGACAGCTGCAGACAGGGGACTGCCACATATCTGCTCGGTTTGGGACAGTACAGAACATGTCGAACAGCTGGTCAGCACGGTGAGGTAGAGGGAGATACAAATTTGGACCTTTGTAAATTTTTCAGAAACGTATGGACCGAGAAGATGGGCTCTAGTCTGACACTGTGTTGCTGTCGGTATTATCTCAAACCCAGTCGGGAGGAGAAGAGCGCCATTTTAAGGTAAGTATTTTCTGTTTATAACCTGATCAAAGTGGAAATTATAGTTAAAGGCGCTGTACCTGATGAAAATTCACTGTCTTAAAAACATGAAAAACAGAATTAGGTCAAGTTGTTCCTCACTTACCTTATGCATTTCAACTTAAGCATTCTAATTATTCACTACAATGAGATTATGAGCTCTTTTCACAACTTTCAGAGACCAGTGCAGAGTTTGCTGTAATGGTAAAGCTAACAACAACTAGCATGCTAACACACACTTCCTGATTAGCTGATAGCTGGTGACTCATTTTGACCCCAAGAGCTGATTATAGCCTACAATATATGTAAACTGTGAAAGACACATGTGGTACAGGCCCTTTAAATAACACTGCTACACTACTACAACTGGCTAAAAAGTAGGGTGGCAACTGCTCAATGGTGGACATTTGCGCACTGATTTGCAAAGGGTGGCAGTTTGATTCTAGCTCTGTCAATGTTACTGTTGTGTTTTTTGGCAAAACACTTCAGTCTTATCTCCAGTACAAAAGATTTAGAAATGAACCGTGGCTATAATCTGACCTGTTTACATGTGTCTTATGAATGTTAAATACATGTAAGTGGCTTTCCCATTTCAGGTCTGATATTTGACTATTTGACTGATATATAAACGGCTAAAATGGTAAATAACTTTCTTTATTGGGTTTCAGTTTCACAACATTCTAATCTAGACCCATGGATGGACAGATGATTAACAAATGGACACCATGTATATAAGAATGGACATAGCTGACCCGCTAGTTGCCATGTTCCAAATAGGAAGTGAGCATGGGCGTGCTTCCGGGGCCATCGACTAGGGTTCCAGTTCACTCTGTATTGAGAAAATGTCACCCCTCTCTCCATAAATGCTGATGTCAGGCTCCACATTTTCATCTTAAAATGTTTGTATTAACCCGCTCTACATGATCCTGGTGTTTTTATTTCACGAATTCACCTATAAATCAATTCAAATTCCTAATATGGAACTGTCTGCAAGTTTGCTCCAATAAATGCTAGTCTCATGAGCTTCATTTGACTGGTGCCGAACGCTACAGGTGACACTCCCTTAATCCACTGTACTTTTTTTTGTGCCTAAGCAGTAACATGCAGACCACCACCACAGCCACTCGTCCTCCGGAGCTCCAGTCCAGTGAATCCACCGACAGTGACCCAGAGGAGAGCATCTTTGGGCCTCAGTCTTCCAGGAGGAACCCTTGGAACGACCCCCCTGAGCAGAAGCAGAAGCAGAAGGGCCATAGGAGCTCTGTGGAGGTGTGGTCCATGCACAAAACACGGAGTAGAGGATCAAAAAGGAGGTCCTCTGACAGAGAGCTGCAGGCTTTTATCAACATGAGGGACAAGGCTGATAAAGCTACTGAGGTAATGTCATTGTGGAAAATAAAAAGTAGATGTATATTTTAATTCTGATGAAATGTTCTCAGCAAAAGTAATAACAGATCATGACTACATACAGCCTAAAGATTCAGGGTTTGTGTGTTTTAACATGTGTGAATGAAATAAAACACAACTAAAGGTATGATTATGATGAGGAAACAACATTATAACAGAGATCAGAAAACCTTGAGGTGTAATTCTAAAGTAGTTGCAGAATACACCTCCAATACTAGTCATTGTTCACTCTCCTCTAATCCAGATGACTGTGATGTATGGTCCATCTGTATCAAAACAAATATGGATGATTATGAGGGGGGAAAAAATCACATGGGACAGAAAAATATAGCAGATTTCTGTAGAATCAATAAGTAAAGCACTAAACTCTGTAAATCTGATTGCACAGTTATGTTTAGGTCTGGCTTGGGGGTGGTGACCAGACTGAAATCTCTCTGTATAAAAACATCCAGAGATATTAGTGGAACTTAACGCTGTTACATCACGCTGGGGGTGTTCTACATATATCTTCTACATGTATCTCTATGGTGGAATGGTCAGAGGTTATGTGTGAGAGATTTGTTTAACAGTACAAAATAATCTCACCTGTTGTAGTTTCAGATAAATCAGGTCTTTCTGGTCAGTACATAATAAAACTCAGATTAACAGATCTTTTTACAGTAAAGTATAAATAGTGGCATCATTGTATTCAGTCTTTCACTACTGGAATATTTTTCTAGTACCTATTAGTTAGGGATGTAACAATATCCATATCTCACTGTACAATATTTTCACGATATACATCTCACGGTACGATATTTATTGCAATATTTTGTGGAGGCTAACAAAATTGTGAATATACTACCTTTTCCTCTTAAAATGCCTTGACAAGACTTAATGTAAAGTACTAAGATTTAAAAGTGCTTAGAACTGCTATTTCTTCATGTAGTTTGCACCAAAACAGAGCAAAGGATCATGGTCTATGTAGTTCCCTCTGTTTTTTTAGCTATTGCTGCACCATAACAGCGAATTTACGCAAAGATCCGATATATTGTGATGACCCATGATATTATTCAGAGACTTTTGACGATATTTTGGTTATTGTTACACCCCTACTATTAGTACCTAATTACATAGACACATCCATATATTTCAAAATGACAACACTTTCAAATAGACATTACAAAGGATCTGCTATTGGCCAACTCATTTGTATAATAATTAGATCAGATTTTTTATCATATTAACCCTCTCAGGCTCAAATTAATTTTTAGCATTAGGAAAAATCTGATATTTGGGGAAAATGATCATATAGGGTAGTAATATACAATCCTGACTTTTTTTTTGAGAGAGACCTTCACATCCATTTGCAGCATTGGTCCAGTGTGGTAAATTAAGAGTGAAGACTGAAAATGATATGAACGCTAACTTTATGTGTATACCACTTTTCATAACAATTTGCTTTACAGAGGCAGAACAACATCACTTTTTCATGTGGTACTCCAAGAAACAATTTTATCCTTTGTAAACAACAAAAGTACTTTGCACTTCTGGCAGACCGTTTGTTTGTAGTCATTCTTGCACAGTCTGCATCGTCCACATTTATCAGCATGGATGGGAAAAAAGGCTCCTGAGTAAAAAAGGCTCATAAAATATGGATGTGGAGTAAGTAGGTAATTGGCATTTAGCTGTTGCAAATCTGCAACGCCTGCCTGGAGATGGTTAATATCCCTGAAAATATCAAAGGCCATTGTTCTGTGTTGTTTTGCACTTCTCAAACTTTTAACAGTCTTCACTGCTGTACCCAGAATCAGGCTAACAGTATTATCCAATCAACTTGCACATGCACGTACTGTAACTGGCTTTGAGAAGACAGTTCTTTCATCTGAACTGAAGCCACCAGAAAACGTGACCTATTTTAAAACTCACAGTTAACATGTCTCTTGAGAACCAGCTGTCTTTGGGGTCAGTGCTGGTTTAAAGCTGTTTAGGTCATTTACAGACCAACCAAAACAGCAGAGTAAACAGCTAATTCACTTACTTCATTAGCAGTGACCTAGTATTTTTCTGAAGGCTTTCACTGTACCGTCACTGAGTACATAGAAAGAATAGAAGCTGTTTGTGGTCTCTTTTTGAGGAACAGCAAATATGGGAAGATCTGTGGATGGAAGAATTGCATATATTCAGTTATTACCAATTACTACTAATAAAATAATAATAAAAAATGAATAAGTGGATTTATTATAATTTTAAAGATATAAATGTAGAAGAGTCAAAACACTGGCTCAATTGATACTGCAGCAACAGTATTAATTGAGGGGTGTTCTTCATGTAGCTCTTGGCGGAATTCATTAGTTGTCATGGTGACACAATGCACACATTAGAAAACACTATCAGAAAAAATTAAGATGAAAAAAAAAAAAAAAAAACTATAAATATATATATATATATATATATATATATATATATATATATATATATATATATATATATATATATATATATATATATATATATATATATATAATAATATAAATAATAAAAAAATAAAATAAAAAAATATTTTAAACAGCACATTTTCAGGAGCCTCTGATCAATATAAGCGTTCATGGTCCAGTTTTTGAGTTTGATTTGGGAGTATCTGAAAGTGTAATTTTATGTGAGAGACTTGTTTAGCAGCACAAAATCACCTCATCTGTTTACCTACATTGGCATTGCACCATCAGAGGATGTTGTTGACATCATCTGCAAAGTATCTGTACATTGTTGCTCTACCTGTTGTGGAGCATAGACCTTCAATCATGCATTACAGTTCTTTCTTCTAGTAATTCTTCTTTTTCTCTATACAAGTTTGTATTATGCATTTTTTTTATGGTTTCACTCCTAAAATGTATTTGCTACTTTTGGTCTATAGCTGATACGCAGTTTCTATTCAGACGTATAACGTTTAGACATGCTTCAAACTGTAACTTCAAGACACATTTGCAATTTGCCATTTCTCCAGATTTTAATTTTACATTTCATAACATGACCCATCTGTGTCCCTGAGGTAGACATGTGAAAATAAAATGTTGATTTATTCTTTATTTTGAAAACACTGGACAAGATGGATGAGCTGTTTATGTTATGATTTGGTGCTTTGGTTCTCAAGACGATTATCCAATCAGAAAGCAGAATGAGCTTTCCCATGCCCTGTCCAAATACTGAGAAGGAGAAAAGACTTGTATGTGTCCTCTATATGCAGGATAAGGCAGTGGCAACCCAGGTCAGTTGTGATTGTAATGTTCCTTTAACTCTGGTGAAAGAGATGTCACTATAGTTTACATACTATATTACACAGCATTTTAGCAGGCGGGTTGAAGAAAACCTACAGAAACATGACATACTAAAGAAAGGTATGAGAGAAGAAACATGTGACAGAGATATGCAGTGGAGCAGCACACACTGGACACATTGTGGTCATGTCCTCAGTCTAAAAGTAGCAGTGGTTTGTCAGGAATACACTGTAATGTATGGGTCATGCAAAAGTTAGTGTTCCTATCATTCAGAGTCTGTTGTAATTTTCTCATGTCTGCACATTGTTGTGTCCTTGAGCAATACACTTCATGCACTTTGTCCATGTATTAATGCCGTGTGTGAGTGAGTGTGTAGTGGTTGACCTTAGGCAGGAATTGGGCAACTAATGTACTATGTGTTATTTTCTGTCCCCAAGTCAGTGTCAATTTATTGGATATTAAAAATGTAATAAGAAAATCTGAATAAAATATTTACTTGTAATGTTCTAATTATGTGTGTTATTTTAATTTGTTGTTTTAGGAATGGGAACAGCTGAATTTTGACATCCACACACTGAGGTACACAAAAAGAGAGGTCAGAGCTCGGTGGGAGAAAATATTACTTCAACTTGGTGAGTGGAGATATTATCTTATTTGTCAAAATCATTATATCTTTGCTGCCATCCCTGCACCCAAGTGCATGTGACCAGTGTTACTCTAAACTTGAAATGGTATGGGTACAGGCAGCTGCTACTGATTCGTGGAAACTTTATGGAGGTTTAGTCATTTGGACTGTTTGGACTTGATAAGGCCTTTCTTTAAGGTCCTATATTATGCAGTATTGACTCATTGTCACATGCACTTTCATTAAAAAAAAAAAACGAAACAAAAAAACTTTTTTCTTTTACATTCTGATCTATCTCTCTGCATGTGCAGGTTATCAGTGTGAGGTGGAGAACTTGCTTAATGTGAATAAACAGAGTCGGTTCAGCAGGGACCAGGAACACCTGTCCAGAGCCATTGAGCTGCTCAAATATCTGCTGGAGCACACCAGTCTGTTCCCCCCAGGCACAGGGCACCACAGCAAATACCTCTATGTCATGGTGAATACAGATTGTGACATAAAACATATTCAAACTGTTACATTTTCTTCATAAAGATTTTAAGATTTGTACAATTTAAACTATAAAATGTATAATATCTAAACACTTTCTGTGTTTGTGTGTTCAGGATCGCCTGGTGTCACTGGACAGCGCTGAGGACTTTGTAAATCTGGCCAAACAAAAATATCCAAAGAAGGATGGGTGAAAGCGACTGAAGACAAATAAAATTATATTTTATTTATAACTAATCATTAATGTTATCTCAAAATGTATAATACATATTTCTTTAACCTATCTTGATAGACAAATTGTTTGCCATTGATGAAGTCTGAAAACAACCTGTTTCTGAATCTTTGCTCTTTGCTGGCTCAATACAACAATACCATTTTAGTATTTTCATGGTTTTAACACAAAATGTATGATCATATACCAAGCTGTATGCATATCACATGTGACTAACTTTTGTGGGTTGTTTTGTCAACTTGTTCCTGATGTTATTTATTACGTGTTTCAAAAATAACTTTGATGAAATGCAGCATTTTTTTTTTCCACACACAGTGGGCCTACACTAAAATCATCACTGAGTATAGTGTTATGTCATAGTTTAACCACAAGAGGGAAGCAACAAGTCACACACAGTGTTCTTGCCAGATGTTTGTCTCAGTGAGATGGATGAGAGAAGAAATTCAATTGATGAATTGTTCGTGAAATCCCTAAGTTGTCCAGGTAGGATCCATAACAAAGTAGAAATTCAATTCTGTCAACTGGACAAAAGATTTTTGATGAAATACATTCAAAGAAGTTTGGATGAGCTGTGGAATGGATTCAATCAAAAAACTTTTGTCCAGTTGACAGAATTTAGTTTCTCTTTTGGTATTGATGAAATGAATCATTATGCAAAAACATTATGTAGAAACTAAAAACTGAAAGTGAACTGTGTGTTACTGTGTCAGTGTCTGATGTTCTGAAGTGTTAATTATGTTGCATTTTATAATGTCACACACTGGGTAACATGGGAATCATTAAAAGCAACAAAGAACGCAGTCTGTCCTCCTTATATCACACTTCTGCAACACCTGTTAAAAATCACAAGTGGAAAAGCTTTTATTTATGTTCCATGGTGCAGACAGTGAACTCAGGTTGGCTCTGTCTCAAACTCCTTTTTAAACTTTGTGAATGCACACACTGTCCGTTTGGTCCAGTTCACCTCAGGATCATCATCCGGTTCAAACACAGGGGCAGCTCTCTGGGGCTTTGGTATGTCCCTCTTTCTCTCTCTCCCTCTGTCTCCAAGTACTCAGTCTGTTTCTCTGTATCTCTCGCCCTCGTTCTCTTTCTCTTTCCCTCCATATTTCACTCCCTTTCTCATTCCTCCTTATATCTCTTGCTATCTCCATCCCTCTCCCTCCCTCTTCCCTTGCTACTCCTCACCATCGGTATGCCTCTGACTTTCTCTAGCTCTTCCTCTCTCTCTCTAACCCTCTATATCTCTCTCTTCCTCCATGTCTCTCGCTCTGTCATCACTCTTTCCATTTTCTCTCTCTCTCTATTCCTGCCTTTCTCTACATCCCTCTTTCCCTCTCTCCCCTAGTTTACTTTGACCCAAATATTGCTCTGTCCAAGGCCCCTTTCCAAGTTTGCTCTCCAGATGTGGAACTAAGAAGGGGATCACACATGTGGGGGGGAGGGGGACCGATAGTTGATAGTCTGCTGGCAGCTAGCGAAGCCATTGTACTCCACAGGTTTTTCCCATTAGACAATCTAGATCTTGTAATGCTGACATCATGTGTTACACTTTTTCAGAAATATTACCCCACTCTCCTCAGAATGAGTAGTTTGTTTAGCTGTGGGCCCAAAATGAGACAACTGGAGGAAGAAATCTTAATGAAATTATTCACACTCAGCATTGGTCATTCCCCTGTGGAGTCATGTAAAAGTTCATAGGTTAACGAGTACATTTCCAATAGGTCAGACACAGGGTTTAGTCATTTTTAGTCATTATTGTCTCAAGAGAAGTGTATTGGCTACAATGGTCTCTGCGTTAAAATCAGACAGGACGTATAATATGTTTGGTGCAGAAAATATATTGCAATGTTAAAGGTAACATCCGCCACCTGTTTGTCTTCATGGAAATGCTATCGATTTATCTATAATGTTCCACATTATAGATTAAACCATCTGTTATGAGGGAGACAAGCAGGTTACAGCAGTAGACTACATTACAGTTCAGATCTGTGGGGAGCTGCCCTTATTCACAGAAGGAATTACTGTATTTATGAGCAATAGAAACATCTGTAATAAATAAATGCTAAATGAAAATGTTAAATGTCATACCATGGAACATTCCAGGCCAAGTAATAACCTCTCCATGGAGAAAAGTAAGTAGCCAACCCTCCACTAGAAATGTTAGATAATAAATCTTGATAATAGAGCCTGACTGATATATCGGTTGGCCAGTATTATCAGCCAATATGGGCACTTACCAATGGGCTATTGGCCTAAATTTAGCCGATAGTCCACGTTATAAAGCTTAAACTCTCTATATTCTGTAAAATTAATTTAATTTACACACAGATAAGTGTCCTAATATGTGGCAACGCATCAATATTTATCTGCAGAGTAATTTGTCTATGTCTGTGACGCCGTACTGCACCTGAACAAACCCCAGAGTCACGTCTCTCTCGTGTGTTTGTTTACACCAGTGCACACTCAACATCTGCTCTAAGATAGCACTGAGGCTCTGGCTTTTAATGCTCTTGTGTCTGATCTAAGATATTAACTATAAATAAATGTGAGCTTCACTTATTCGTGAAGACTTGTGATTTGAGAGAAGCCTGTGTGAACGCTGAGTGTTGCAAATGTGTTGGTTTTGAAGCTACTTTTGGTTCTTTCTCATTGGTTGGCGCTTAGCTGCTGTAGCTCCCACACAAACAGTCTGTTTTCTCTTATACTGGCCTAGTGTAAAGTGACTATAGTGGCTGTACATACATTACTGGACCTACATTGATATGTAAATGAGCTGTGAACAGAATGATCGGCATTTACGCATTTAATTAATTACCGCGGCACACACGCATTTACCGCTAAAGGCTAATAGCGGTAGTATACTTGCTTTGTTTACAAGCTAGAATGTCATGCAAAAATGCCATTAGGCCACCTACTGTCTTTAAATATGGCTGTAAAGAGGCAGAATAACAATAAATGTAGCTTAAACAAACCCAATTTAAAATCCATTAGAGCCAGACCTAAGTTTTATAATCAGTTGAAGATTTGTAGTGAATTTTTACACTCCCACGCTTTTATATCGGCTATCGGCAGCTCCAAAGCCTGTTATATCGATATCGTATGGGCTCTAAAAAAACCCCATATTGGTCGGGCCCTACTTTATAGTCTGATACAACCTGTACAACCAAAGAAGACAACAACTGCTTCAAACATATATAAACACTTGAACTATTACATTAAAGGTGCACTGTGTTACTTTTCTGATGGAGAGTCTGCCAAATGTATGATGCAATTTACTTTGTCTGGAATGTTTCATAGTATGGCATTAAACCTTTCTATCTTCACAGTCAGAATGGTATTTTTAAGCTATAAAACCACCTGTAATTTCATAAATGTAAAATAAAGCTGCTTAATGTAATACTGTGGAACATTCCAAGCAGATCAATGACAAAACTATAGAAACTATGGAATCTATGGAGTCTTGCTATGACCCTATAGATTAAATTGACTGTGACTCTATTTAAACTTTCTTCTCAAGACCTCATTGATGCAATATATGACTCACTATTACGAAATCAATAACTTAACCTCCCAGATCAACAGGAAACTGGTATTAACGTCAACACAAGTATGATGAAAAAAGTGACAAAACTGTACTGACCTCAGCAGTTAAAGACAATTGGATCCCAGAACATTACTACCACAAGTACAAGTACCACAAGACCTTAACTCAGTACTACTATCATTTATTAATATATTCTTTTAAGCAGTCATAGGCTGGATTTATACATTTGTAGCACCTGGATCCCCTGAACCAAACTTCAAAGCTCTGGTCAATGAAATATGAAGTGCTATTCTAATGTGCAGTTCCAGTTGTGTATTGCTGTCCCTGTTCTAAACATGATAAATGACTTATAAACACATGGGCTTATTGTAGACTAAACATGGTTAGACCCCTGTGGACTGTGTATGACAGTTTAAGCTTTATCACTCACTGAATGAAAAAGCAGTTTATTTTACTGTCCCCTTTAAGTCACAGACGCTACAACACAAAGCTAATATGTACAATTCTGTCTATAAATATAACAGACTTTATAAGTGGATAAAATATAGAGTTTATGGTTATATAATCAGTAATACGTTAGAGTTGAAAAGTAGCTTTTTTGTTTTTGTTGCTTTTCTCTATAGAGCCAAGTCACAGTTTCAAAAATGAATATTATGTTAGAAATAAAATGTCCAGCAAAATTTACCAGAGATCATTGCTGGACTGTTGCAATCCTAAACTCATTGTCAGTAATTCGTCATGCTATAACTTTCTTCCAAATGTTTTTCCTATTTTGTTTGCTTATGTGCCCTGTAAGCAGACTCACCAGAATGGAAGCTTATTGCAGTGATATTTTTTGTGTATACCAGTAGAAAAAGTGTTCCATAGTGAAGTTATTAGGTTAACATTTCCTCATTCAAAATAAAATCTGGGTAGAAATAAAAGACTTTTATTAAACAGGTTTGCAGGGCAGGCTGTATTCATTTATTCAGCACAGTCCTATGTATGCCAACATTTTTCCCCACACATAGTAAATGATAAAAGTGCTGACAGCAGAGTTACAGCCCGGTCCACAAATGCCAATGAACGCACGTTACACTTGCACGTACACGTAGACATCAGGTAATGTGTTGAGGATGTTTAGAATCTTTAGCGAGCAAACCAGGCTGTGACCTTTGACCTCTCCAGCACCTGAGATGGGGTCAAAAGATCAAGAGTCTGTTCAGGAAATACTACATCATTAGCCTCTTTAAACTCCACACCCTCTTAAATATAGCAGGGGCCAGGCCAGTTACCCCATTTCACCATCTATTTAAATGCTTAGCAGATTAAACAATGATAAAGTACAACTGTTATGAGAATGACTGTGGTTTAAGAGACTCACAAAACGTCACTGTTAGTATTTGGTTTTTCGTTTTGGAAAAGATTGTATGTATCAAAAGGCCAC